CAATGAAGCTGTTGCCAAAGGTGGGAAGGGTGTCCAGACGTGGACACCTGTACCTGCTTCAGTGATTCTGAAAGTCCTTTTGGCCCCTTGGTTGCGGCGCTGTTTGTGCTTCTTGTTCTTTCTGGTAACGTTTTCGACACTAGAGGGAAGCCAAGTGCATTGCGAGCCGAAACTCATCATACTCGAGACTTGTCGGTTGTACTCGAGACTCATCAGTTGTACTCGAAAGATTAGCACTCTCCATCTGGAGTTCAAGTGTGTACACCCCATTCGTGGGGAATCCTCGGGTGTACCCATTGTGTGACCCCGGGCCGGCTCTGTCGGAAAATTTGACCTCAGCGTGCTGATCATAGAACAGCGGAATTTCACATTTAACCAGGAACGAGGTTTCACTAAAGGGAAGAAAGCCATCAGACCATAGTGACGTCTCACCCTACGTCTCCCCTTTTTTCTCGCCTTCTTCTTCCGCGTGCCCGTCTTCTGGTCCTTCGCCCGTTTAGGGATGGCTTCTCCTTCCTCCCGTTCTCTTTTTGCTGCCTTTCGTGACCCGCGCGTTCGTCCCGCTCCTGTTCGCCCGCTTAGGGATGGCCTGGTTGTCCTCGCGTTGTTCACCTTTTTCCTCGTCTTCGTCTTCGCGTCTGTCTTCCTGTTCCTACTCCTCTTCTTCCTCACGTAGTTTGGCTTGACGTCTTCTTCCCCTTCCGTTGCTACTTCGGGTCCGTCCTCTTGGCCCCTGTGCGGGATCCGACGTCTTTCTCCGCGAGCCTTGGTCTTCATCCTCTGTTCCTATCTGGGCGGGATGCGTCGCCCTAAAAACGCATACTACTCCTTCCTTCTTCCTCTTCTTTCTTCCTTCTTCTTTCTTTTTTCCTTTTTGTCTCCTTGCCTTTTGCTTCTTGTTCCTTCTTCCCGGGCGGGATGCGGCGCCCTAAATACGCACCCTGATCCTTTCTTTTTTCCCCCGGGCGGTTGCGACGCCCTAAATACGCTTCTGTGTGTCTCTCTCTCTTTCTCTCTCTTTTTCTGTGTCTGTCTCTCTCTCTCTCTTTCTTTCTCTCTTTCGTCCCTTTCTTTCTTCCCTTTCTTTTTCTTTCCCTCTCTGGGCTATTTCTTGTACTTCCTGATCGCCCGGTTAGGGATGGCCTGCTCCTCTTCTGCCTCTTTGCCTTCACGGCCCCTTTCGTCTACAAGGTCTAGGTCGTTTTTGTGCTGGTTGGGGTTGTTGCCCTCGGAGACCCGAAACCTGGCTTCCCCGTTGTTCTTGTTTCTTGTTTGGGGTTTTGCCCGCGGAGACCCAACCTGGGGCCTTTCTGTTTCTTTTGGGCTCCCTTGCTCCGTTTGTTTTCTGTTGGGGTCTTCGCCCGGTTTTGGGGCGCGTGGTTTTTCTCCCCCCGAAAAAGTGGTTCTCGCCCCTCGTAGAGGGGCGTGTGTGTGCGGAGTGACAGAATGCCCTGTCACCACCCTTTCGGTTTCGCAGCAGGGGCGTGCAGCACCTTTGGCATACTGCACGCAATGAAGCTGTTGCCAAAGGTGGGAAGGGTGTCCAGACGTGGACACCTGTACCTGCTTCAGTGATTCTGAAAGTCCTTTTGGCCCCTTGGTTGCGGCGCTGTTTGTGCTTCTTGTTCTTTCGGGTAACGTTTTCGACACTAGAGGGAAGCCGAGTGCATTGCGAGCCGAAACTCATCATACTCGAGACTTGTCGGTTGTACTCGAGACTCATCAGTTGTACTCGAAAGATTAGCACTCTCCATCTGGAGTTCAAGTGTGTGTGTTATGTTTAACTAGCCCTGGCTTTTTACTAGCCCCGGCTCAGCACAAGGCCAACCAACCAACCAACCCCACCCATCCCCTGTCCGGGGCGAAGCCGCGGACTAGGGACAAAGGAAGCGCTTCCCTCTATTGCTCCACCAACAAAAAGGCAACGCCGGCGCTGAGTTTGTGATTGTCTTTCCAATACTGAAACTAGACAGAGGCCGCTTTCTCCCTCCTACCCGCATGGAATCTGACTGGAGGTGATGACAAAAAAAACATCTTTCGCTCTAAGGACCCTTGCAACCAGTTTGTTGCAACTTGGGTGGGAGCGGGGGGGGGGGGGTTTTGCAAGGGTGCATTTAATGATGTGACCCCCCTACCTCAAGCTAAGGAGGAGAGAAGTTTCCCCCAATGCCATTCCAGACTTCCAACCACAAGGAAAATAGAGCCAATGAAATCTCCGAACATCCGCTCCCAATGTGGGTGTCGTTTTTTAAGAATCGGACCCCCCGACATTGCTCAAAAAGACACACCCATTTTTGAATGGGACATGGTGTGGACCATGTGCTTCTGGTCAGGCCGCAAACGACAAAACTGGGCCAGCAGCGCCCACGAGGAATCTGGCTCACCTGCCACGAATTGGATAGTCCCCTTCCAACAAACTGAAAGGCGCATTTGCTAACATGGAACCTGAGGACCTGTCCCTAAGACGAACTGCCCAGAAGCTTCTGTCACGCTTGCTATGGGAGGGGCATATGCACTCCAACCAGGGGGTTTACAAACTCTCTGGCTGCCCACAAAGTGGGACGTGATTCGCTGGAGAAAGGGGTCCAACAATCTCGCTCCCTCACAACACTCACAATTTGCTGGAATATAAGTTCTAGAATCCAGGCTTTCCATGGTCCTTTTGTCGGGTGACACCATACCCTGAAAAGGAAAATATGCTAAACAGCGCAATTTGGATAAACAGTCACAAGTGACTAACAGCGGGGGTTGGGTGACGGAGATGGGAGAGAGGAAGAGAGAGAGGAAGGGGTAGAAATACATGTGTGTGTATATATATATATATATTCATATATATATATATATGTATATATATATATATATGTGTACACATGTGTATATATATATATGTATATGCGGCCACAAACCTACGAAGAAGATAGCCCTGGCGATTTGAGGGATCAGCACTGGAGCACTTGCGGCACAATCCCTGGGTTGCATCCGGCTTTGCGCGCAACAGGTGGTCCTGTCTTCCGGAAATGGCCAGGCATCGTATGTACCTTACCCAGCAAAAAATCACATATTTCCAAGAGGGGCTTTCTGCGCAGCTTCTGCCGAAGGGGTCTTTGGTTGCCAATCCTGATCGATTTTTGGGGGGGTGATACGCTTAGCCTGAGCACCTTCAGTGGCTCTTTTGGTTGGCAATGTTGCTACAGCTCCCCTTTAGATTGGACTCATCAAGAAGCGCTGCCAAACTTTGGGGCTGATGTTTGGGCTTGGGCGGCCATGTTGATGCAGGTTTCCTCTTGGGGAGCTCCAATCGCGTCAGAGGCACGGCCCTCCACACCTCCTCCGGCGCGCCCTTCTCAGGGCCGCCTCGAAAGTGACGAGAGCTGTCGGGCAAAACTGAGTTGGTAGTGCGATCTTGGATTGCGTAATCCGGCGGACCGTGCTGAGGGGTGGTTGCCTTTTAGCAAGGAAATGACATTTTGATCTATTGAGGGGTACCCTCTCTGACTCGGGCGATTTGTCCCAGAGGTTCCTCCATCCCAACTGGTGCCATCAGCGTGTGAGCATCTCTGCCCACAGTAGGCCGAGCCTCCCTTTGATGTTCCATCTCACCACAAGAAACCATATGCACAAAAAAACAAAGGGGGCCTTGACGGATGTGGACAGGGACTCACCAAAAAGTGAACTGCCAAATGAGGAATCTTCACGTCTGAGCAGGCGTCGATCATGGAGTGCTGCGTCGAGGGGCACACTTCAAAACACATTTTGTGTTGGGTGATCCAGAGGTGCCTCAGAAGCACATTGTCAAAGCAAATCTGGATTCTGGCTGCTTCACACATCTACAGCTCGTCTGATGCAACGACTTATGGGCTACACCTGATTGCCCTCTTCGTGACGTGTAAAATATGTCGTGGCAACATGGCATGCGGTTCCCAGGCAATCGGGTCAAATACGACTGAGAAAATCATGTTTCGTGTTTCATCGGTGAAACTGCGCTAATTCAAAGGACCCAAAGGTCTGCGCATGACCACAACTATTGAGTTTTGCCTGTTCCTCTCACCCATTTGAGAAAAACAATCACGTTGCTTGACTCACAGAAGCGCACGATGTGCTAGCCCTGTGACCTTATGTTTGCTTCTTTGCGACAACGTGGTGTCATTCAAGAGATAGCAGCGTGGAAATATCTGACGTGTCTCATGCCGTCAACCATGCGTCGCTTGCACAGCAAACGGAACTCACCAACAATGGGGGGAAAAGGACGCGAGGTTGTACAGTGCATAACGCATTCGAAGGAAGGTCCGAGAGTGTTCCGTTGGTTACCCCATGGCTCCCTCCAGTTTGGAGCACCCCAACTGGACCAACCCATGAGCCTAGAAGACCGCAGCAACTCCCTCGAACACAAATGCCAAGTCTCACATCCCGAGAAGGCAAAGAGAGTCTTTATGTAGCTTTGGCTGGTTCCAAGTTTCTACAGCCACAAGCTAATAAAGTCGGTTGAGAAACAATTGCTCGCCCGAAAGAAGAACCAAGAGAGAGAGAGAGAGAGAGAGAGAGAGAGAGAGAGAGAGAGAGAGAGAGAGAGAGAGAGAGAGAGAGAGAGAGAGAGAGAGAGAGAGAGAGAGGGAGAGAGAGAGAGAGAGAGAACAATTAGGTGTTTCCTAGAACAGAACATTGAAAAACTTCCTTGTGGCTTCCCTTCAAAGAAAGCTCCCGGCTCGAATTCCGCGTTTAGGATCCTCCCCCAAACCTTGCCACTTCGCCCCTCTCCGAGACTCCCAGGCCTCTGCGCGGCGGGTAGAAGGACTGCATTGCCCATGGGAAGCGATTGCCGCTACCTCTTCAAGATGTATTGATGTGTTGATGTTAAGCTATGATCTATTGATATATTCATATATATATATATATATATGTATGATGATGATGAGCTGCAGGTCTTTGAACAGGTCAAGCTATGATTCATGATAAGCAGCACTTTGAACAGAAAGTCGAGCATCGCCTTTTGAGAGCTCCCAAGAAAAGGGCGCGGATGTCCAAGCTCAAGCCGAGTACAGAGAGGTTGGCGGGGAGGCTCTCCGAAACCCGTCCCCGCGGGTTCTGTTTTTGGTGGGGGTACCCCCCCCCTTTTGGTGGCAAGGGGAAACCAAGAGGAAAAACAACCTTGGGTGGTCCAACTCCTAAAACTTCACCAATGGAGCAGTGGAAACCTACCGTAAGAGCAATGAGTCGCGCATCACAGTTCAAGGTGTCCACCTTGACCCAAACCGAGCCAAGTGGTGGTTTGGGTTTGTAAACATACAGCTATACAGACAAGAATTTGTCCACTCCCAAACCGAGCCATGGTGGCTTGGGTTCATAACCCCCAGACCAGAAACCCCGCTGCCAGGCTCGATTTCCCATGAGCAGCCGCACGCGAACAGCCCGCCTTTCGCACGCTTCGCGTCCGACTGTGAGGGCCACGAAGTGGCCACTTGGCTCACATGCTTGGGCTGTCCTTGTAAGGATCCCCGGAAGTCTAGGAATGATTGCCACAATGAACATTCATGTGTTTACCCATCACTTGACATGCTGAATGATTCATGTCTTTACCCTTTCAGGTTTTTGTTCAGGCAAGGGAACAGTATGACTCAGTTGCAGAATTGGAACCCTGCTAGGAACAGAATTGGAAAGCAAACCCGCGGATCCCACCAAAGAACTTGGGAGGAGGGTGAAACCCACTGACCTGGGATAAAGGGTGCACCGAGGGACGGGTGCGTCCCGTCCGGATCGATCAGCTCACCACATAGCGATGGGTGGGAAACAGGTCCGACCTTACGGCGGCGAGGTTCACTGGTTGCGGACATCAGTCACCATGCAAAAATAGCCAGAGAAAACGACGCGGAGTCCAACTGCCCACCGCGAAAACGCTCCGCCACATCGCCTCGGGGCATTTTAGTCGGTCCCTCTAAAGTCTGTATAGCCGTCAAGCTTGGTAGAAAGTCCTGGGGTTTGGGCGTTGCTGAAATGTACTCCATGCGGCAACCACGGAATTCCTTATGATTCACGTGAATATCTATTCCAGTGACTTTCTCCATGAGCTGGACCCCAGTTTGATCCCGTCGGGGATATGTTTTTGGGCGCTATTGATCATCAAGTAGAACCGGTAAAGAGTGCTGCAACGCCTTGCAACCAAGGCTCTGCTGGCTTGCAGGCCTCGGATGCGTTGTCAAGGCGCGTCCGTCAAAAGACGTCGAAAGCGGGGGACAGTCTCCTTTTGGGGCTCGGGTGCTTTGAAGGCCACAGGCCCAAAAAGCGAAAGGGCTCGAAACCACCATGGGGGTGTCTTGTTTTAGGAGTCGGACCCCCCAAAATGGGCGGGTTGTCCTTTTGGTTCTCCGTTAAAAAGAAAGACCCATATTTGGGCAACCCCATTCCAGTCCCCCATCCCATTCCTTTTGTACCGATGTTGAGGGTCCTCAAAAGTTTTGGGGGGTGACTCTCCATGGGGTGGTTGTGGAACCTCTACTAAGACTCCGCGGGAGGGGGGCGGTCCCATGGACATTCTGAGGCTCCGACGCCGTCGAGGCCTCTGGGAAGCGCCAAGATCGCTGGCCCACCAGCAACTCACTTCCCATCGAGTGGACTGGGCCAAAAAGTCCGACCAAACAAGCCCAAACGGCTGTTGCCGTAAATGGCCTTCCCAAAAAAGGGTCAAAGTCCAGGAAGAATCTTGGAGGCAAAAAACCGGACGTTGGGACAAGGCTACCTCAGCTTGTGGGGCACAAAAAAGTCAATCTGCACCTCCCCACTCCCTTCTCTGGCAAACAAGATAGCTTTGTCCTCGAATTGGGAACACCGACAAATCGGCGAACCTCAAAAAAGGTGGTATTGGTGAGGATTCGCGCAAACCATGTTTCCTAGAACCTTCAAATAGTTTGCATCGGACAGTGCTTCCACAGATGCGGTTGGTCCCGTTCTGTCTCGAACATACACGCAAGCCACGTTCTTCTCGTCCAGTCGGAAACGGGCTCCCCTTTATTTGTAGCTTGGTTTGACACAACACAGATCAAAGGGTAGTTGGTCCGATCCCAAAAGACTGAGATGGGTTCCACTACCCCAAAACCACCCCGAGAAAACCAAGGAATATAGCCTCTTTATAGTGGCTGCATGGTGACTCTACATCATTACACGTATGCGCGTAGCTGTTTGGGGGTAGCAGAAACTATCTTAGAAGCAAGACAGGTGTTGGACCATGGAAACCTGGCAAACTGGCAACTGATCTCACGCCTGCAGCGGCAGCCGCACGAATCCGTCGACGGGCGCCTGGCATTCCGAGGGTCGAAGTCGGGTCTTCGGAAGCGAGATACGCGGTGAAACTAAGGGAAGCAGCGGCCTCAAGGAACGGTTGAAGGAACTTTCTGTTCGAAGGGGTTCTCAGAAGGGCTCTGAGAAGCTTTCTGGTAAGAGAAAAAGGGAAAAAGGAAAGAAAGAAAGAAAGAAAGAAAGAAACAAAGAAACAAAGAAAGAAAGAAAAAACAAGAAAGAAAGAAAGAAAGAAAGAAAGAAAGAAAGAAACAAACAAACAAAGAAAGAAAGAAGAAAAGAAGGAAAGAAAAGGGAGGGAATAACCCACCCAATCAGGAACACCCACCAAGGCCTGTTCAGTCGAAGCCCCTTCCTTTTTTTGCCTTTTTTCTGAAACTCATTCCTTCAATTCATTCCTCACCCGTTTCCCGCATACGAGTCATAATCAAAACCAATCGGTATTACAATGGTCTACCCAGAATTATATAAAGGAATAAACCGGCGGCTGCACCCATTGGGACTATCCCTTTGTTCTTGTTACAATGTGTTCCCTGAAATAACACTCTGACCCCATTTTGGGTTCGTGTCAAACTCGGGAGCCCAAAACATGAGATTTTCCCGGTTGTTCCGTTCAACCAGGCCGAAACGGTACCGGGTGGATTTGCCATTCTTCAGAAACCACCTCTTCTCGGGTCTTTACCACTCTGAGAAGCACCCCATCTCACCGGTGTCTTGTTTTTCCTGGTTCTTCCGCTCCTAAAAACCAATCCAAAGCTTAGCGGAGGAGCCACCGAACCTGCCTGGAAACCGAGCTTCCGCTGGTCCCAGGGCATCAGCGGACTCTCCACCGGCGCTTCGTCCTCAAGACCCCCGCTCGCTCTGAAGGAAAAAGGGGTCTGTCGTTTTGAGGTACCCCCCCTTTTGGTTTGGCTTTTTTGAGCTGGTACCCCCCTTTTTTGAGTGTGACGTGTTCTAAAGAGAGACCAAAAGCAGAACCGAAGCCAGTGTGGAGGGTCCCAAAAAACAAAGACACACCCAAATGGTAGTGCCGCCAATATTTTCTGGCACTATGTCAAAAAAACCCTCAACAAATGAACAGCTTGGAACCTCCAAAGATCGTTTGAAGTACTTCTTTGCAGAGAGAAGGCCTGCTCCAAAGCAAATGGTAATCATTTTGCAAGCCCCTCCAAACATCCTTCCAAACTTTGTTGTAAAAAGAAGGCTCCCAAGCAACAAAAGTCGCAAAAGGCCGTTGGGCTGCGGTGGAAAACAACCCTTTCTGTCATACCGCAGTGGTGAATTCCCGCTGCTTCCTCACTTTCCATCGGATGGCCCAAGCATATCACAGAAACGGATCCACTGAATGTCCTCCTCCTCCTCCTCAACAACGTGGAGGCCCTGCGTTCGCCTCCGATGCTGTCGAAAAAATATAGTCGAATCGGTCACCTAACATGACATCATAATAAGGTAATCAATAATCTTATTCTTTCAAATCATTCCCAACTGCTCCCAAAATCACCCCTACTCGTTTCCTTCAGAAAGGGGTGTTGCCACTCTGAAGAGAAGCACCCCATTTCACCGGTGTCTTGTTTCACATACATGGATTTACCTTTAAATAAAGGATGGCAACAAATGGTTTATTGCTTTTGGTTTCCCTTTAAACCACTCCAAAAGGGGAACCTCCAATAAAGGAACCACAGCCGAAGTGAAAATTTTGAATCCAAGGCACCTTCACCATGAGCTCGCTTGGAGCCAAGGTAGCATGACGGCATTCGCAAATGAACATGGTACTGTACCGTGATCAACAACACATCTTGGCACGGAATACTGCCGCATGGTCTATATTTGGTGCAACCGTTTTGGGGGAAAGCAAGGGCAAAGAGGGCCTAGCGTTCCCATCTGGAGACAGGATAAAACTGGGTGCCCTTGTCCAACCTCCTCCTCTAGAAATGAGGTTCTGCGGAAAAATGTTTACAAAGTGCGCCATGAATGTATCCTTGAAAAAATGGTTTTCGGGGGGTGTACATGGGTATGATGCGTCTTGGAGCTACTTAGAGGTTCCTGGAGGGCCGCGAGTCGCAAGCCAATTGGCTAAGACCCCGAGTCGCGTGGCGTGATCGCGCAGGCTCCGAGCCCTTGACCCTGGCACTGAACCCTGACAACAAATTCCTTGGCTTGTGCTTCTCACGGGCATGCCTTTTTCGGGAACCCCCTCAATGCTTACCTTCCACAAAAACAAAGATACAATCGAAAAAAGACTTACCCACACAGATGATCTGGATACTCGTCCGAAAACCAGGGGCCAAGGAAGGAATTTGTTGCAAAAAGATTCCCCAAACTTCTCATAGCAAAGCATTGACGCGCTACTGCTGCAATGCGTGCAATCAAGAAAGCACAAGACAACCACAATGCAAGCAAAATCCAAACATGCCAATCACAAGCAAATGCTCCCATCAACCCGTCACTCTCATGCTTCCGCACTCTTTTGTCCGTAGATCGGGTTAGTGCCAATTGGGAGCAAAAGGATGGGCAGGTCCACCCCGAGGGAAAAGGGGGGGAGAGAAAAGGGGGGGGCCAGCTCGTCCACCAAAAACGCATCGCTAAGCTCCAAGCAGCGGCTTCTTTTCTGCGTGGCGGTGGTCCCTGCGTGCTTGCGTCAGGTTTTCAGGGCCTAAGGCACCTGCCCGACGGAGGTAACGGGAACAAAACAGAGCGCCCTCTCCCCAGATCTTGATGCCGAAGGCACCCGTGCGGAGGAGGGAAAAAGAACCACGAACCACAAAAACTAAGCTCCCAGCCCGGTGCGATCAATCCACAAAATGAATCACATGAGCATTGATCAACTAAGTTCCTGACAAAAGGAAACTAAGCACAGGGCCAGTGAGATACTAAGTGCGGGGCGCCGTGGCCAGCTCCTTGGCCAGGCCATCAATGCGCTGCAGCGCCGCCGCCTCCGGGTTCCGCAGGATGATCTCCCAGATGGCATTGCTGAGGTTGCCGGTCTGGACGTCCGCCCCGAAACGGAACCGCGGCACGGTGCGTCAAGGGGACGTCCCTCAACGGCGCCCGGGGCCACCTGGTAGTACTCGATGCGCTCCCGGACCCACTTGTGGTAGAGCGCCTCCGGGGGCTCGTCCAAGATGAGCTGGAGGATGGCGCCCCGGGAGCGGATCTGCAGGAGGCGGGTGCCCCCGCGGCCCGCCTGCCAGAAGCCCTTGCAGTACTTGCACATGTAGCCCCCCTTCGTCTCCCTTGGTCTTGGGCACCAGCTCCCAGGGCGTGACGCTGCTGAGCACCAAGCCGCACTCCATCCGCGCCCAGAACACGCGCTGGTCCTTCGTGAAGTACCGCTTCTTGTAGTCCTTTGGACGCGACGCTGTTCACGTTGAAGGGCGTGATGGGGGGGTGGTGCGCCTTCCCCTCGGCGATTTTGACCCCATCCTCCAGGGAGGGCGACTCGGGGCCGAAGGCGCCCGCCCTGCCTTTTGGGAGGTGGGGTCGAGCCCCATCTGGGAGATGGCCGCGTCGGTGTAGCCCAGCTTGCGGTAGACGGCCGGGGCGTCCTCGGGGGCGACGGCAGCCACCCACCACTGCTCCGTGTTGCAGCGCCAGTTGACGGTGACCTCCGCCGTGGTGGCCTCACCTCCGATGCGGTCCATCAGCTTGGCGTAGACCTCCGGGAAGTCGCGGGATCGTGATGCGCTCGTCGCAGACCGCCCTGTTGATCATCATCTCCTTGGGGAGCTCCATGACCTTGCCCGGCGTGTCCGTGAGGAGCGAGCACGCACCCCATCCTCCGCCCGGACCGGCTTGGGGAGGCCCTCCTTTTCCAGTGAGCCTCCTTGATGTCGAGGTAGTCGTCCAGGCGCTTCTGGGAGGCCGTGGCGTTCTTGGGGCCTCGCTGCCTGGGCGCCTGGAGGACCCACAGCTGCTTGAGTGTGTAGTTGTGCGTGGAGCAGCGAGGGGAGGTCCCAGGTGGTGACCTGCCGGAATCAGTGGTAGTCCGCGTGCTTCAAGTGCCAGAAGATGCCCTGCACCTCTTTGGGGCCTGCTGGTTGAGCTCGTCCACCGTGTAGCGCGCCATGTAGCGCGCCATGTAGCGCGCCATGGCAGGCCCGCCGAGGCGCCGTTGCGGTGGTGGACACCCCGCTCCAGGATCTCCAGGTCCGGCGTGGTCATGGCCTTGGCCCACTCCGGGACGTGGAGAGGGCCGACCCAACAGACTCAGCGGCCCCGAAGATGTGGAACTCCCCCCCTGTTCTTGGTCATCATCCAGCGCAGGACCAGCTGCGTCTCCGGGTCCTGCGGATCCAGGGAGGGGGAAGGCGTGACAGGGCCGATGGCACCTGCGCCACTTCCCTGTCCCGCGCAGGGGCGGCATATCGGGGCCGACGGCACCCGTGCGCTGGCCCCCGGCGAGATCCGGCAGTTCCTGGAGGAGGGCGGCCGGGAAGGGGTTCCGGCCTTCCGAGAGTGAGGGAGTGGAAGTCGTCGCGGCTGAAGTCCCTCCAGGCCATGGTGGGCTCGAACACCCCCGTCTTGATGGCCTCCTTGACCTTGGAGGCGGGTGAGGGTCCTGCCCTGCTTCTGCCTGGCCAGGTTCCTCCGCGGAGGTCTGGGCCCCCATAAGATCCGGGACCGACCGGCCCCACTCCTCCCAGGAGGCGGTTACGCAGGAGGTCGAGGTCCAGGCGCTTCAATCTCACCACCCTTCTGCTCCTCCAGCGCCGGGTCCTCCATGGCCCCCATCTGCATCTCATGCAGGACCGCCATGCTGCGCTCCACGTCCTGCTCGTGCTGGGCCTTCTGCGCCTCCTGCCGGCGATCAGCGTCGTGTCCAACTTCGTCTGGATTGTGAAGGCCTTGACTGCGGCCGGGTGGAAGGCTCGGCACTCCTGGCCCTCCTCCCGTGCCATCCGCCGTGACCGTGAGCTGCCACTCCTGGCCGTTGACCTCCAGGGTGGCGGAGTGCTCCGTGGTGTCCACCGGCTGGGTGACCTTACCGCACCCCATGCACTTCTTCGCACCAAGCTTGACCCACGGCATGGCGCAAAGCGGGCAGATCCGGGTAGGGTCGGCCCCCGCCGGCCTGTCCTCCAACGTACCATAGCCCAGGCCCTTGCGCTGTCCAACCTTCTGGCCCGGCGTCCTGAGACGCTTGACGTGCGCGTACTTCACCTTCGCGAGGTACGATGCGCTCCAGGCCACCCCGCGCCATGTGCTCCAAGTTGAACCCCGCGAGAAGGCGCTTGACCTCCTCAAGCACCATGCGCTTGAGGCGGGTAGCGCAGGTGGCCCAGGACCACATCCCATTGCTTGGGATCCACCTTGAAGACGCCGTCCGCCACCTTCAAAGTGCTAACGAAGACCCCCGGGATGGCCGAGGTGCCTGTCGGGGCCGAAGGCACCCGGGCATCACTCTCACCAGCCAGGGGGGCAGCGGCCGAAGAGGAAGAAGTCGCGGCCACCTCCACCGGGGGAGGGGAGCCTGTCAGGGCCGAAGGGATCTGGGCGTCACCCTCAGCCGGCGGGGCGGCCATGTCCGCATCCGCGGGGTTGTCCGCCCCCTCAACCTCCATGGTGTCTACCTGGTCCTCCGAGATCCGCGGGCGCTTGGGCAGCTGCTCCGCGTCGGTGAAGGCCAGGTCCTCGGCCGCGGACATGAAGTGGTCGGAGGAGGACGCTCGGTCCTCCGGCTCCGAGGCAAGAACTGCCCATCCCTCATCCTCCTTCTTCACAATCTTCGCCAGGTATCGCCTGACAGGATCAGCCGCGCGAACCTTTGCCGAGGCGATGTCCGCAGCGTACTTGGGGGCAAACAGAGAGGAAGACATGGCAGAGATGTGGTCCCCCATGCAAATCTGACCACCTGGCTTGATGATGTTGCATTTGTGGAAGCGGCCGCAGTTGCCCTGGCAGGACTTGGTGGCCCAGTTCCAGCAGAACTGGCGGCCCTTGGGGTCCGTGCTGGCCGTGCGGGGGCCCTGGTTGCCCTTGTTCGCCATGGTGTGGGTGGGCGGGTTTTGTCACAACTTACAGGTTCAAGTAAGAAGGGCAGCTTGAGCCAAAATGCTGTTGTCTCTGAGAAGTTAGTTCAAGTGTGCATCTGCGATTTCCACTTCTGCCCAAACCACTCCTTTTCGTGAGCTTCAATCACGTTTGGGGTGGGGGGAACCGTTTATCTTGGGGTTAACCATAGTGGGGAACTCACCACACAATGAGCCCAAGGAGTACTCCCAACACCCCAAGACCTCCCTCAACCCTGCCCCAAAACCACCCCAAGCCGGAAGACCTTTTTCAGGTGAAACCCATGTTTGAAGGGAAGCCTCGTTCGGATGCACCATCCCTTTTCTTGGCCAAACCGCTCGATTCTTTGATTTCACAGAGAAGACCTCATTTTTCCGAGGAGAAGTCCACTCTTTTCGGGAGCTTGAAACTTTTCGAAGGGGTCGAATCCTTTGACCGCAAACTCGGTCCGCACCTCTGGTGGCGTTTCCGCGCGCTCTCCCGGACCTTCTTCGTGCCCTGCTCGATCCGATGGGAGGAAACCGAAATATGTGAATTATATAAGATGTCCTAATGTCTCAGGCGTAGCGAGCAATAAAGTATAACATCAGTACCTCGCACGGCCCTTTGGCTACGCATATGAGGGTTCCCTCTTCTGAACGGTGTGTGTGTGTGTGCGCGTGTGCGGCCCATTCTGAAGAAAACCGGGCGGGGCTCAGAGCGGAAGAAAGGAAAGAAAGAAGAAAAGAAGGAAAGAAAGAACCCAAGAAAGAAAGAAAGGAAGGAAGGAAAGGAAAGGAAAGGAAAGGAAAGGAAAGGAAAGGAAAGGAAAGGAAAGGAAAGGAAAGGAAAGGAAAGGGAAGGAAAGGAAAGGAAAGGAAAGAAAAGGAAAGGAAAGGAAATAAAGAAAGAGACAAGGAAGGAAAGGAAATAAAGAAAGAGAGAAGGAAGGAAAGGAAATAAAGAAAGAGAGAAGGAAGGAAGGAAGGAAGGAAGGAAGGAAGGAAGGAAGGAAGGAAGGAAGGAAGGAAGGAAGGAAGGAAGGAAGGAAGGAAGGAAGGAAGGAAGGAAAGAAAGAAAGAAAGAAAGAAAGAAAGAAAGAAAGACAGAAGAAAAGAAGGAAAGAACTAAAGACCGAAAGAAGAACAAAGAGCAAACATATGGACGGATAGGAAGAACAGACAGACAGATGGTGAATGGACACTTAGACAGATAGGTAAGATAAATGGAAAAGCATACAAATAAATGCATAGACAGATAGGGGATTTACACATGCATAGATGCACAGATAGATAGATAAATAGATAGATAGATACATACATACATAGATAGATACATACATAGATACCTAGACACACAGATAGATAGATAGATAGATAGATAGATAGATAGATAGATAGATAGATAGATAGATAGATAGATAGATAGATAGATAGATAGATAGATAGATAGATGGATGGATGGATAGATAGATAGATAGATAGATAGATAGATAGATAGATTAGATAGATAGATAGATAGATAGATAGGTTAGATAGAATAGAATAGAATAGAATAGAATAGAATAGAATAGAATAGAATAGAATAGAATAGAATAGAATAGAATAGAATAGAATAGAATAGAATAGAATAGATTAGATTAATAGATAGATAGATAGATAGATAGATAGATAGATAGATAGATACATGGACACATAGATACATATTTCATGCATAGATAACTAGATACATAGATACATAGATACATAGATACCTAGATACATAGATACATAGATACATAGATACATAGATGCATAGATACATAGATACATAGACACATAGACACATCGATACATAGATACATAGATAGACAGGCGGACAAGTAGACAAACAAATGAACAGGTAGATGCGTGGATGAATGCGTAGATGGGTAAATACACAACTCATTAGGTCGATAGGCAGGCAAATGCATAGGCAGGGGCGCACACAGATAGACAGATAGACATGCCAGGGGGCCTTTGGGCAATTTATCTGCAGGGTGCGTGGCTGCTATCAGTTTGTTTCCTTTCAAACACGAATCAACAGGCCACCCTGTGCGAGTTGCACTAGTCCACCAACCCTTCCTGAAGGGGAGGCACACGGGAAGGATGTACTTTAGCATGGCGAGCTGAAACTTGCCGCCAGAGGGTCGCGGCTTGGGTTTTGGTTTTAATGTAAGCTGTTCAAAAGGTTCGAAACACACGCTAGGCCCTTTGCACACGTTTTCAGCCTCAAACCCCGCAAAGGTCTGGGTCTGGGCTTGAGGTGCTTTTTGGTGTGTTTTCTCGGTCAGCATTTGGCAGCAGCTTGGCGGTTCGATTCCTTGGTCCGGCCTTTGGAGGGCTGAATTGCGTTTTGCGTGGATTCAAAAGTGTAAGCCCCTTTTCGTGCCTCACAGGATGCATTTTCGGCCTCCAACCTGCCTTTTCAATCGACTGGAGTAACGACCACTATGCGAAGAATAAACCGCACGAGCTTTGTAAAAATGCACACAGACTACCAACCACTGCTCACGAGCCAAAAAAAACACGCGAGAGTATGCAAGTTGCTCCCTGACGCACCAAAACACAAACTAGCAACCTTTTTGCATCCCGGACAGAAATAACAGCAACAAAACAGGACTTTCTCCCCCACACAACGACACGCACAACAAAGCACAAAAGCGGACTTTGGAGACTTTACCCTTTCAGTGGGATCAAACAGCTTTTTGCGAAAAGGAAGAATGCTCAAATTCCCAGATGTGCGCTGGAAACAGGGAGCCACTTTCACGGAACCCCCGCACCCGCTGAGAGCCCCGCCCCCAAGTGGTAGGCAGCGAGACCGCAAAGCAGCAAGGCGAGCACTGGCGCGCAAAGCGGGGCATGCTGCCATGGGCTTTCTCAGTGTTCCCTATTTCCCCACAAGTGATGAAACGACTCAATTCCTGCTCCGCGCCAGGGTGTTAAATAAAGAGTCTGGGGAGAACGCCCACCTTTTTTTGGTTGCGATGGGAAATTTAAAAGCAGATGCCCCTGCAAATGAAAATGGAAAGGCAAACAGTTCACCTTGTGGAATGGGGTCTCCTTTGTGAAGAAGGCCCCGCGTTCGGTTCCATCTTAACTTGCCCGGGATCAATCGATAAACCCTTTTGAGGGCTTCAAGTCCTGATTCAGGGTTGATGACCATCCCTTGCGTCCTCGCCGGAGTGTGGTTTCATACCGAGACACTGAAGCCGGCAGCGCCACGGGGCGGAAGTTACGCGAGGCGAGTCGAAAAAGCGCGCAAGAGGGAGCTCTTGCGACGCGTGAAGCTCAGAAGCTCGGGGCGTGCTGCGGCGTCATATCCCAACGCGAAGTGTAGAACAGAGCGGTTCATTGAGCGCCTTTGAGATTCGCGCGCAAGAGCTTCAGCGGCGTGTGCCCCGACATGTTTCGACCCGTCAAGAAAGACGATATCTGCCAAGAGTAACCTGGCGCAGCCCCGTGAACTCCATTCGGCCGCTACAAAAAATTGCTAGCACTCTGAGACAAACGAAGACCCAGATTCGCAAGAATCCATGGCCGGCCCAGCCGCACCTCCAGCCCTGCCGCTACTGTCTGCCACAAACTCCAGGAACGACGCATTTGCGACTGGAAACTAAAGTCAGCAAAGACTACTGTGCAACAGCGTACGTGGTGCACAGGAGATCCTCAACCTTGTAGGGCAAGCGATCCGGTGCATCAGATCGAGTCAATGCAGGGGAAAATGCCTCCAGGGCGTGCGTCAGCTGATGCCTCCGCCGCTACGGCACGAGCGAAGTCGAGGAATGCCTGGCGCCGGCCACACCTCCGTGGAGGGGCAGCTCAGCTCAGCTCAGTGGCTGTTGACCATCCCTACCAACCCCGCTGTATTTCAATGGCACCCTCTACATTCCCCAACCTTTCGGTGCGCGACCATCCGTATCATCCCCAAACGAGAGGCCTTTTGACAATAACGAATCTTTCGGCTACTTCAAACCTTCCGAAAGCATTGCAGCTTGGCTTTAGGGGACTCAACCGCAGCACTCGAGTCATCGGAAGAGCCAAAACCTATCAATCTTCTAGAGACTCCCCTTGATGTCTTGAACGGAGGAGAGTGTCACAAACATCTCCCGAATGAGAACTCTGTCCCCTTTGGGGCCCTCAATTTCGGCTGGGTGAATCCATCCCGGCGCAGGTTCCAGTGATGGTGCATCCGGACTGAGCGCAACCAAACCAATCCCCCGACAATCTGAGAGTCAAGCTGCAAGGTTTCTCGTCTTCAGACCATCCTTCGAAGGGGGTTGATGCCAGCCCAAGCTGAAACCCCTTTTCATTAACCCTTTTCATTAGGTGGCGTCTCTTCAGTGGGCTGTCTGCCTTGCTTGTACACCAAGAATCAGAAATTCAACAGAAGGCCGTCAGGCTGAGGCCAACCCCCCAACGTCTTCAAATCACAATTGGAACTTGAGAGATGCAAGACCAAAAGCTGGCATGCGTGCGGATGCGGCGCAAGGTCGTCATAGGCCAAGAGTCGAACCCCCCCCTGACCGCGCAAGAAATACCCAACTACCCCACAATCTGGCAGTTGATGGGTTGGCAGGCCAGTTTTTGCGAGGGAATCTGGCAAGTGAAGCTGTCAGGAATCAACATCTTTTCCACGGTGAAGAAAGAAAACAAAGGTAGTTCTCCCAAAAGCTTGCTTGATTCATGGGGGAGGCAAGCATTTTCCGCCCTTAGGCTCCCGCTGGTTTTCGGACCTTGCAGGCGCAAACTCCAAGCTCCGATCAACTTCCGCGGCTCGCCTGCCGCAAGCAGCCACAACCAGAAGTTGGAGCCTGCGCAAGGCCATCCGGCCCCGAGAATCCGTTGAAGCACTGCAAAAGGAACCTAAGAGGGCCCTGGTGCACCTTGCTCGTTTGAAGTGAACCCAAAAAAAGGAGAAGAAAGAAAACACACCCGGCGAGCCTCTCAAAGCTGGGGGGGGTGGGGGGCTTTTAGATGGCCTACATTCGGATTATGCAGTTGTAGGCAAAGGCTCTATCCAGCCGAAGATCAGCTAGAAAAGATGTACAGCCACACTGGGACTGAGACATAGCCCTCACTCTTTTTAGAGGCAGAGAGGAATATTGGATGAAGGCTCACTGGTCGTAAAGTTACCTTAAGAGAGCAGAATTCACGCATCAAAACGGTTGGCTGAATGCGTGGGCCACGGTAACTGCAATACCAGGAAAAACAAAGGCGTACCTCAGAATAGGAAGCACCGTTTGGATGGTGGTTTAAAGGAAACCGGAGCAAACCGGCCGGTTTAGGGGGTCCCCTATTTTGAGAAAATGTTGCGCAACATGTGCCAAATTCTGCGCCACATTTGCAAGATTTGGCCTCTTTCTTTGGGGGTGGCCTGAAATCAAGATTTCTTGAAACTTCTCCGTGCAATCTTGGATCTTGGCTCCAGGCCACAAAAGCTTTCGGCCATCTTCCGGAATTGGTTAAATATATATATATATATAGAGGAGGTGCCCAGCTTACAGAAATCCCTCATGCTTGAGGGAAAGTAATGACCCACCGGTTAAAGCGATTGCTTGGCAATCCGTCAATGAAAACAACCCCATGGGAATTAGACAAGGAAAATAAGAACAAATTGACATAAATGGGTATTGAGAACAATAAGAACAATAAGTCTATGTCAGCACGATGGGAATGTGATGTCAAATTGAGTTTAAATTCGATGGCAGCAGTTGCGTTCCAAAAGTTGTTTTGACAGGTTGAATTAGAATGCAAATGGAACTGCGCAAGGACATGGAGCACCTTCTAATTGAAATTGCAAGGAACTATTTTGCCCCAATATTGAAGGTTTGCCGATTATGATATTCAAAGCCAGACATGATTTTCCAGCATCTTGAGCCTTGAGTCTCATCCACTTGTGGCTAGCGATTGGCAGCTCCAGCAGAAAAAAGCCGCAGCTTCTCAGCAGAAGCGTAACACGCAAAGTACACTTTGGCAGCTTCAGCGCCTGTATCAACTCCGTTGTCGTGTTTTGACTAGAAAACGAGGTTCGTGTGGCCAAAAACTGCAACAAAAAATCCGCCGCTCGCGCCTTTGACGCCGTTCACGGCTGCCGCCCTTCACCCCCTCGCCTTGTGTTGCAGGCTGGGCCAACACCTGTCGAGCGGCGCCGGAGACCTAGCTGGAAATCCTTGGGCTCGGGTGGCTGGTGCATGATTTTCCATTTACCCACCAAAGGAAACCATGGGAAAGGTGTAAAAAGGGGGCCAACCACCATGTGGAACCCTCCCTTAAAGTTGCGGAAGCAACAACACTCGGGAAGGCATGGCTTTCGATCTCCGATCGAAGCCCTCAACTCCTATCTTGGAGAGTTGCATACCTCTTGCAGCTATATACTGCAACGAAAAAACATGGGTGCTAACATAAGAAATAGAATCCATACCTTCAAATCCTATACCTACAAATGCCCTCCCACCTGTTCAGACTAGAATCGTCTTATCCCCGCTCACACCAATCCTTCTTTGAAGGCACTGCAATTCTGCCGAAGGATCTCTTAAAACGAATGTAATGAAACATTCCAGAAAATTACAGGTCCAGCTGTTTCCCTCATGTCCACTCCGTTTCTCCAGCAGAACCCCTCGGACTTAATCAGGAAAAACACTATTTAGCAGAAGAATATCTTCGAGTTTTTTTGTCGGACTATAGTCTGAACTAGAACATTTGGAGAAAACTTTCTATTCCGGTGGCTTGAGCCAACGGAGCACCGGACGGGGAACCTGCCCACCCAGGCCAGCGGGCCTTGGGTGCCTCCGTCACAAAGACGGGACCTCAGTCGCAGCAGAAGGCTTCAATGCCAGAGGGAAGGTGAAGAAAAAAGATCGGAAGCGCCTTATCCTTTTTGGGACCTTTAAGCGGCCAACACTGAAGCCCCTACGCCCAAGTAAGCAGGTTGTTTGGGCTGGTGTCCGGTGTTGCTTCCGAAATCAGCTGCAAACAAATTCGGCTTGAGCTCTGAGCCACTCTACTTCCGGAGAATGCAAGCGCCCAGGGGTCCAACAAGGGGCGCTTCCCACGAAACGGTCTTCCAAAACGGCATCCAGTCTGGAAACTGGGGGGGGGGTACGGTGGGACCTGGACATGAGGTTGGAGTCAAGAACCCACGCAAACAGTGCTTCTTACTCGGGCCCAAATCCCAGGCTTCGTCCTCTTTTAGAGCCAACGAAACTCCCCCAGCCGAGAAACGAACGGGAGGGGGTTGTCACCCAGTGGGCTTTCCGTCTCGGGCGCCCGCTGATCTCGAAGGTAGGAGGCACCGGCGCTGGCACCGCAGGAGCCAGCGAGCAGGCCTTCGGCCCCGAGATGGCCTCGGAGCTGACGCGGCCACTCGCGGCCACTCCTGAACTGGGCTGCCCGTTTTCTGATCCGCCAAAAGTGAATAACTTTTGGTGACCTCCATGCCGGGTTGGCTTGCCGGCCGGCGAACAAGAAGCCGGCTTGGCCTGTCCATTCACTTTTAGCGGGTCAAATGGAAACTAAACACTAAACACTAAAAGGCTAAGAAGCTAAGGGGTTGGCTGGGAGCCACCAAGACAAATCAAGGGGAGAACGAAACCAACAAATGGTGCGGCCCCTGTTTTCGAGAGTTCATATATACCCCTTTATTGTTGCAACAAATTTGGGGGGGTCCCTCCGAAAAATAACACATCCAATTTGTGACTTTCACCCGACTGTAAATGTCCCAAATACTGTGTCCGGCGCAGTCGAAGTCATCAGTTCTCAAGTTCTCAGTTTCTGGAACCAGTTCATGTGCATCCGGATCCTTGAAGGATGCAATTCGGCCAGTTGAATCCTTCAAATACCTTTGGAAGGCCACCTCCCTATGGAGCGCACACCGAAAAACTAAACTGCTCTATAAGTACTTCACAAAAGGCGATCCTCAAATACAACATATGGCCAAAAAAAGATACCCAAAATGGAACCTTGGTAAATAGAAACATGGACTAACACCTGCGGTCCCCTAGTACCTCAATTTCGACCCACACCCTTGGCCTCACGTTTTCCCGGCTTTGGCCCCCGCGTGCAAGTTCTGGACGAGCTCAGCAGACTCGGAACCCAGCCAGCAGGCGTGGCTGCTGGACAGCCTCGGAGCGGCGAAAAGTTTCCCCAGGCTCGAGGTTCCCCCCGTTGAGCTTCCTGGCTAAAGACATGAGAACACAGTGAAGTTGTCTCACCCAAACTCGAGAAAAAGAAAAAAAAGAAAGAAAAAAGAAGAAGAAGAAAATCTAGCTACGGTCACTGCGTCCAGGAAGCCATAGGAGAACCATGCAGAGTGAACCTAGAGGCAAAAAATACGAATAGCTTGCCTGGAAGCACTGGGTCGCAGCAAAAGCTAATCCATTGGCTCGGTCCTACTTGCATGTCTCCGTAAATGTGTGTGTGTGTGTGTGTGTCTTTGAGGGACCCGCTTTGAGAGAACTGGGGGGTGGCGCTTTCGCCAAAGCCTGTTTTGAAGAGGGAGCCAGATTCGCGGACGAAAGATGCGCTTCAAGTAAAGCACCTGCTGCTGGCACTGAAGCAAGCCCCTTTTAATGCCACAAAAAAAAAAGTAAGCTGTCGATGAAAGAGGCAAACCGCATATACTAGATATGTGTACATGTGTTAGGATATACATATGGTCTTGGGGTGTGTGTGGGTGATTCTATTGTTCACCTTTCGTCTGGTTTCCTTCTGGTGTCACTTCTGGTGCTGTGCGAAATGAATGTAGGGAAACTTGCTGGGACCTCAGCGAAAGCCCCGACTCACGTTCAGTCCCCCAAACTGGAAATGGAACGCCCATGTTTGGACGCTTGCAATGAAACCAGGACACCGACCTTGCTCAAGGTCCTACTTGATGGCTGTGAGTTGGAGGGATGCAGAATTTGTGACCACTTGGTAAAGTGCTACCCAAACATCTAGAGGTCAAGTGCTACCGAAGGGTGACCAAAAAGGCGGAGTACCACAAATTTTGAATGCCAACAATAAGATGGTGCTTCTTTGGCTGTGTCTTTCTGTGGCGTACCCCATAAGATGGCTTCGGGTTTCCTTTGGGGTTCCCTTTAAAAGAACCTCCGAATCAAAAGACGAGCGCCTGGTTGGTTCCAGTTGGTTCATTTTGGTGGCCAGGGCCCCATGCCAGGTGAAGTGCTGGCACGTGGGGTTGCTGTCGCAACTCGCCCTTGGATCGCTCCGAGCCCCGAGCTCCGAGGCCGATTTCCCCCAGACTCGACTCGCGGGAACGGGTGCCGGGGGGAGCCCGAGTCAAAAGCGCGGCCCTCTCAAGTTGCGCCTGGTCCGAGGCTGAAGCCTATGGCTCCGCAAAAGACATGAGCCAAGGGGCTCTGTTACAAAACAGGGGCTTGGTCATCTTGCTGCGCCCAGTAGAGAATGGCCCAGGTTGGGAATTCATCTAAGGATTCCCAAGGAAACCATGGGACAGGTCTTTTCTCGGGCTTCTATTTTAATTCTTCATCGAACCAAGGAAAAATGGCGAGCCGACTTCCGGAATCCGATCCCGAAGTCCAAGGCTCGCGGCAATGAGTTTCCAACCCTCATGCAGCCGGTGCAACTCTGAAACAAAGCAGGGGGTGCATGACATCTCTGGAATCAAGGAGCCTTGACCATATATATATATATGTATATGTATATATATATATATATATCCAGGTTTCGCTAGAAAACTGAGAAGTGGGCCCCTTGCTGAACTTCTTGCTTGGAGCGGGAAGAAAGAGGCTCAATAATGGACCTGAGCAAACTCTTTGCATTGCAGCGCGATCCAAAACCATTGCCTCCTGAAAGAAGTACCCCCGGTCCCGCCCATCCATTTCAGGCAGGGCGCTGGCACGAGGCCGCATCAATCAAGAAGGCGCCATTGGGCAGCGCGGGTGGGGCCCCGGCATCTTTGTACCTGCCAAGGCGGAGATGCGAACCAGCCCCTTTCGGAAGAAGACACTGACGAGTTTGGAACCCGTTCACTGAACTCAAAAGAACACCTTTCCGAGGATGAAGGAGTTGCCGGGTCGGAGCCAACCGCCACTGGACCCCAATCCTGAATCCACTTTCAACGAACCACATCTCATTTCACGAGTCATTGACCAGCATCTTTGATCCCACGAGTCGGGATCAAATTCGTTGCAAGCAGAAAACAAAGGCCACGGGACGTCAAGCGTTGTGAAAACAAATGTGCAAGGAGGCGGCTGCCTGTCCTGTCCGGTCTGATAGTGTCTTGGATCCGTGGAAACTTTGTAAGGGCGGGTTGCAAAGCTGGGTGCACTAGAATGGATGCTTCGTTGTTGCTGTTGTTTTGTTCAAGTTGGCAGCCTCTTTGGGGTGGTCTTGATGGACAACCAACACGATATCAATCAGCTGCTCGCTCCATTTTCACACATTCCCATATCTTGAGGCCTGAATAGTTGTAATTGAAAAACACCCGGCTTGCCAATCCAGGCAAATTTCACCACGTTGGTCTTGTGCGCTCACCGTTGTGGAGATTATCGTTGCGATGGTCAACAATATCTGTTCATAGCCTCGTTACTGGTGAGCTCACCCTGAGCTTGTCATTTGAACCTTGCACAACATGCTTGGGAAGACAAGCCTTGTTCTACCAAAGTTGGACAGTGGCAGCCAGAGAGGTGCGAAATCGAACTGAAGCTGTGAAGCCGTGAAGCTGCGCAGCTTCGTTTCTTCGGGCTGAAGCTGTGAAGCTGCGCAGCTTCGCGTCTTCGCGTCTTCGGGCTGAAGCTGCGAAGCTGTGAAGCTGTGAAGCTTCGCGTCTTCGGGCTGAAGCTGTGAAGCCGTGAAGCTGCGCAGCTTCGCGTCTTCGGGCTGAAGCTGCGAAGCTGTGAAGCTGTGAAGCTTCGCGTCTTCGGGCTGAAGCTGTGAAGCCGTGAAGCTGCGCAGCTTCGTGTCTTCGGGCTGAAGCTGTGAAGCTGAGCAGCTTCGCGTCTTCGGGCTGAAGCTGTGAAGCTGTGAAGCTGTGAAGCTGTGAAGCTGCGCAGCTTCGCGTCTTCGCGTCTTCGGGCTGAAGCTGTGAAGCTGTGAAGCTGCGCAGCTTCGCGTCTTCGTGTCTTCGGGCTGAAGCTGTGAAGCTGTGAAGCTGCGCAGCTTCGCGTCTTCGTGTCTTCGGGTTGAAGCTGTGAAGCTGTGAATTCGCGTCTTCGTGTCTTCGTTTGATTTGCGCGCATCGCGTCTTCGTGTCTTCGTTTGATTTGCGCGCACCTATCCTGCGGCCGCAATGCAAAGTTGGCAATCCCTGTCTGTGTCACTTCAAAGGGGGAGCCTTGGCATCACAAAAAGTGGCCCGAAAGCATGTTCTCAACTATCATGATGCACTATGACCAGAGTCTGTGCCAGTTGGAATGATGCAAGCGTATGCTACAAACTCATGTGCCTATGCATCAATGTGTGGTCTTCGTTTGCGGGCACCAGAAGAACTTGCCCCTTCCCAGTCCGAGATGTGGAACTTGCCATAGAATGAAGCATGTGTTCATCTCATTGCACACTTCCCTGGACATGGGCTACAAGTCTTCCCTTGTCAATGCAGCGAAGAGTTGACTTTCTGGAAGATAGCCCTGCCATGTCATCTGTTTATCTATGTCTGCATGTAGCTACAGGTCTGGCTTGTGCTGGCAATGGGAACAATGGCAAGCATCTGCGCGTTTGCTCGCTTCCAAAACCTCATCAATGAGTATGTGCTCTCCTCAAACAAGCAAACATTCCAACATGGTGCGGGTTCAATGCAGAACAACACAACTAAATCCCGTTCGGTCGAAAGACCTTCTTTGCCTTGCCATGACTGTTTTAAGGCAAGCTGTTCTCTAAGTTCTTTAAGGTTGCTACATACAATTCATATCCTCCAATCTGTGTTGCCCTGACAATACATCGAACAAACAATTATTGCAATCCCATAAGCGCATTGGATCACCCAATAAAACCTACATCGCGAGCTCATTTTATCACGAGGTAGCGGAACAAAAGGGCAGATCTATTCAGCTTGACACTACTTGGTGGTTGGAATTGGTTTGGTGCTTAAGGGCTGGCTTCCCATAAAAACCACCAAAACCACTGCACGGATTGGTGGTCCAGGGCTGGCTTCCCATGAAACCAAACAAAGCCAGTCCAAGGAGCCAGCGAAGAACAGAAGAAAGGAAAAAAGAATGCACGGAGCGGCTGGCTCGGGCCCGCGCCCCTGGCCGAAGACCGCGCAGCCGGGCGTCTTCCCGGCCACCAACGGAAGCCTCGAGGCAGTCTCATGCGAATCTCATGGAAACTTCGCGGGGCGTGTTTTTCTTTATATATATATATATATTTATAGATATTACAAAAAGTTTGTTTTTGCTTTTTGTTTCTTGTGTTCTGCTTTGATTTTGGAGGGTGTCCTCTTGGGAAACATTGATCGGTTTCCCCTGTTAAATCGGACAAACCCGTCTAAACCAGTCAATCTATGTCTATTTTGACCCACGCCCGGGCTACACACGATGCGAGGAATGCAGAAAGAGGCTCCTGCCGTCAAAAAGAAATTCAGAATTTGGATAGGCCCTTTGGAGTTCCATTCTCCTCGTTACGGTCTTCTGAACCAAGGTCATCTGGGCTCCAAACATCCTTTCACTCCTTGTGAGTCTCGCATCCCTTGCATGGATTGTTTAGGAAGGAAAACCCTTTAAACACGAAGGTGCGAATGTTCAACATGCAAAAAGAATTCCAGTACGAAGAAAACTCATTAGAAATTGCCGCATTGACATCACTTTTGGCATAGTGATCATTCACTGTAACAATAACATTACTATTGGTATATACATATGGCTAACTTGAATATACACAACCAGGAACTGTCACTTCGATGTACTGACTTTCATACTTATTCATGACACGTTTAGACCAATAATGATGAACTTGATTGTATAATCAATCATACGTTTGACCTGATTTCAATACATCATAAATTGCAATTTGCTTGGGCCGACAAGTAATTGTTTTTGGTCGTTCCCAAACAGCCACGCACACATACCGCGATCCGATTCAAAATTGGAGAACTACCCAAAACTCAGCCTAACGCCGCAGGTCAATAGTTGCTCTCGTCGAAGGGTCTTCCCACAGTTTGGCAACACACGCCTCGCACGGCTGGAATGGAGTTCTGCTGTTGCTGCGAACGTGCAGGCTGCACATTGGGCTCACGCACGCTAGAGCTTCGATTCAGCCAAGTCCAATCGAAGATGGCTGCATGTTTCTTCGGCATGCAGGAAGCGAGCTGTGATTCAATAATTCAACGCATGCTTCTCGCAAGAGGGCAGCCGCCTTACAAAGCCCAACATCGACACCTTGAGCCTCCCAAATCGGGCTGTCTCAATATAGGGCAACCCCCAAAATAGCTTTCCTTTGGTTTCCCACGCCGAAAAGCGTACCCTCGACAAAAGGAACCACAGCTCTGAGCCCGTAGCAGTATCGCCCAGGCGCCTGGCGGCTGCTTCGAACTGATCCAAAGGCTCTGAAGACATCTCCGTGTTTCTCCCCTGACTCGCAATGATGGTTCGAGCGCGGCGCACATTGGCCAAGATGCTATAAGCTCAAGCTGAAAGTATACACTCCCTAGCAAAGGACCTTCTTCCCGGGCAAGCTCGTTGTACCCCCCGATTAATTAACTCACTAACATTGCCACAGATCATGTGTGCCATGGTCCGGGCTGTCTTCAGAAGGCTTACCATGGTTTGTCTTCAAGGGGTTCACAGTCCCGAACATCTAACCCGAGTATGCGTCACAATATAGATTTGGACCTTCATGAATGTTCACTTTACTTTTAGTATCCTTTCAACAAAAAAAGAAAACGACTTCACCCTAATCCCCAGATGGGCAGGATGCGACACACATTATTCTTTGGTGCAAGCCGAAGTGATCGGCCGGTCTCTCAAACTGGGACCAATGGACCAAAGAAAGGGGGTGCATTTGGCTCCCCCTTGGAACAGAGTGGTTCTTTGTGTGAGCACAGTGGTTGGACTCACGTTGGTTCCCATCCCCTTGTACACAAATAAACAAAATGGTTGGTGTCCTTTCGGTGCCCCTTTAAAGCAACCCCCAAAAGATTTCCTGCCGCCCGGCCCAAACACAACTCGGGTCCCAACAACCACCCTGCCTCCGCCAAAGAGCGGGCGTCGCGCCATGGCTTGGAACCCCCCAAAGGACTCTACGAATGCCAACAAAATATGGGTTCGTTCGACAAAACAAAGGCGTGTCCCTCAGGTTTCCCTGCAAAATAGCCCAAGATGCAGCATGCCCTCTGACACAAGATAAACATATGAAACACGTAGGGCAACGGGATTCGAAACCCTTTGTTGTACCAATCCTGAAAAGTCCATGTGTGGGACAAGCTTGCATGGAGGCTACATGTTTATCATTTTGCGAAGGTAGTCTGAAACGCATGAACAAACCTGGCAAATGGCAAATGGCACGTCCCATGCTCTGGTTCGGCCCCATGAAAGTTGCCACAATGTCGCTCTCAGGTCTTCAATTCCAGTGACCCAGAATCGATGGTTCCCACGAGTATTTTGGCGAAACCGAAACACAACACATCCCTCAAACGACACATATTTTGTTTGTCTCCGTTCAAAAAAGGTCGCCTTTGCCGGCAACTCGGTTTTGAGGATCCCTGAGTTTGGGGTTTTGCATTTCCTTCTGCCCCTTGACTTCCCCCCAACTTGCGCCGCCTTTGCGGTGCCTCGAGAACGGCTGCGGTGCTCGAGGCTTTTTGGGAAACACGAGAACCAAACACTAAATTTCCCCGTTGCCGCGAGGCGGGAAAACAATCATGTAACACCTGGACGAAAAGATGTTGGCTTCATACAAAATGATAACTCAGGATAGCAAGTACAACATATTCAAACATGAAACACATGACAACCAAACCTTGATACTGCCGAAATAGTTTCAGCTAATTCTGACCTTTTGCACCATGATGACTAAGCAATTGGGTTGAACCGGGCTCGAACTTTGAGGTCCCCACCCAACAACCCCTCAAACCCAGCTTCTAAAGCGGGTTCAACTTGTTCCAAACCCGGGTTTGAACCCGGGTTGCACTTTGTTAGAACCCGGGTTGGGCGCAACCCAAGTTCCAAATCATTTTTCCCGGATTAAAAGAAAAACGACTATAGGCGTTGGTACCAACAACAAGACTACTGCCACGACTGCTACTACTACTACTACTACTACTACTACTACTACTACTACTACTACGACTACTACTGCTACCACTGCTACTACTCCTACTCTACTCCTACTCCCACTCTTACCCCCACTCCTACTCCTACTTCTACTACTATTCCTCCTACCACAACCACCACGACCACCACGACCACCACCACCAGGTCACCACCACGACGAACACCGACCACCACAACCACCACGACCACCAAGACCACTACGACTACGACCACAGTACGACCACTACGACGACTACGACAACTACGACTACGACAGCTACAATGACTCTACAACATTTACGACCGATACGACCACTACGACCCGACTACAACGACCCCTACGACAACGACGACTACGACGACACGACGACTAATCAACGACTACGACATTTACGACCATTACGACCACTACGACCGCTACTACGACCAAGACGACGACAACCACTGCTACGATACTACTACTTCTACTACTACTACTACTACTACTACTACTACTACTACTACTACTACTACTACTACTACCACTACTACTACTACTGACTGCTACCACTACTACTACTACTACTACTACTACTACTACTACTACTACTACTACTACTACTACTACTACTACTACTACTACTAACACTAATACTACTACTACTTTTAGTACTTCTGCTGCTTCTACTACCACTACTACAACTACGACTACTACTACCCAACTGGCAATGCAACTTTCTTCTCCACTTTTTACTTCTACTACTTCTAATTCTATGATGTCTTCCTCTTCTGTTGCGACGCACCATCAACGTTTACACTGTTTCGTTCTTGAGTTTTTGCTCCGTCAACGCTTGCGAAGTTGCCTCTGCCCCGAACTCTTGCCCCTGCCCGGAAATTGGCCCTTGATGAGTACTGGATTTTGCTTAGTAACTTTGTTACAAATGCTTTTGGTGTCCCATTCGTCTGGGAAAGGTAGCCGTTTTGCTGCTCGAGCCAAATGTTCGCAACATCATGGAGTGAACCTGGCTTCACCTTGCATATTCAAAGGCTTGGTTGAAAACAAGGAGCTGCAAGGTGAGAGATCTTCTACCTCCACATCGCCGTCTACTCTTCGTACAAACTGCAGCTTTGTTTCTGCTTCACAACGAGGAGAACAAGGTGAGTGTTGGTTGCACATCGCTCCCGGATTACCTGTTGAATGCCTGGATCGGGGGGCTCTCGGCTGGCTGTTGAAGGGTGTGTCTACGACTTTGCTGGAGAGCGGAGCTGTACCTTGGAATACCTTTCAGGCATGGGGCTCTCTATGGGTGTGCACCGTGAACCACAAATATGCCTGGAACTGCTCACCCTTTCTGCCAAGTATGTGGCCTTCGCTGCCAGACGCGAACCACAATGCGCAGCCAAGAACAGCTTGGAGCTGACGATCACCGGAAGATCAAGATCATCGCCACTATCCCCGTTGCCTTGTTTGCTGTGTCTATTGCTATGGGATGCGTCTTATTCCTACACGCAAGGCTCAGAGAGATCTTTGAGGGCAATGATCGTGAGAGAATGGAGTACGTTGGCGGCGACAAGACCATCAGAAATGTTGACGCGCAGCCCAACGACAATGTCAATAAGGTGTTCCCTGTCATGGCCAAAGCCCGGAAAATGAAGCTGCCTGCCATCAACATGTGCGCCATATCCGTTGCACCGCGTGGCGAAGATCGTGCCAAGGAAGAAGCGAATCGCTTAACGTGGGAATCGTTCATCGTACTGCAGGACAACGTCCTGTGCTTCCCAGTCTTCTGCCTCAATGGCCAACCAATAGGACTTGGTCAATGTCGCGACATTGCACAATTGCTGGCATGTGAGCCTCATCAGGGAGGTTGGGCTTGTTAAGGTAGGCAGCGAAGATGCGGCCAGCTCTTCTCCTCTTGTGAACAGTCACATAATGACATCCAAATGTGTGCCGAGCAGTTCGCAACGGATTGCTTCCATCTGCTGGTCGTGTTGATTAGAGCAGGATGGCGGAACGTTGTCAACGCGACCATTCCGGAGAAACATGACTGAACGAATCAGTACCATCATCGAGCAGCGCACCGCTTTCGTATTGCGCAGAAAATCCGGAGGCGTCTGCCCATTCGAGTGGAACCACTGCAACTCAATGCGCGGAGCTGACGCAGGACGTCCAGTCGCCAACGGCATGAACAAACGCCACGCCTCAGCAACACTGCGTTTCGGCATGCCAGAAGGCGGATTAACCACGTAGTCGAATGACAATGTATGGGGCTCAACTTCCGCGGGGTCGTATAGTTGTGGTCGTGGTAAACGGAATACGAACCTTTTGCTCTGCTTCACAGCTGTGTGTTGGATGTTTGCCCAATTCTATTATTAAGGTCTTGAGCCAAATGCATTCAATCATTGACTGGCATCTCCAGAATAGTAGTCGCCGATGACAACACGGAAACAAGAAAACATTCTGCGGTGACAAATGCAAGTCTCATGCAAACACTTTGGATTTGCCCAGGTACCGTGCACGACGAGTACCACAAGGGCTGGTCATGATACACGAATTATCACGATTCCATTGTGTAAAAATGCAAATTTCAGTTGATCCCCCACGGAAAGAAAAGAAGAAAATGCTTGATCCTGCGGAAGTTCTTGATGGCTTTCTTCAATGTCTCCCAGTTCCCCGGGCAGACTTTCGCACGAGCAAGGGGCCATATTGGCAAAGGACTTCAAAGCGGGGGACAGGTTCGATTCCAGGCTGCGCCGTGTTTCCGGCAAGGGGCCCGGCAGTTAGTAACGCGACAGCCTGCAATATTTTCTTTTTTGGTTGTCTTAGAAAGAACAGTATAAGAACTCCAGCAGGAGCGCCCCGATTCCAGGCAGGCCCCGATTCCAGGCAAGAGGACAACACGTGATAAAAGTCCAAGTTCTTGTCCAAGTTCTTGTCCAAGTTCAAGTTTCCCCGACGAAATCGGGGCCTGCCTGGAATCGGACAACGCTAAGAGAGTCTGTAACAGATAAAACTTGTCCAAGTTCCTGGTCCAAGTTCTTGTCCAAGTTCGAGTCTCCCCTTCATGCTTCGCGACGTGCGCTCAAGGACTTGAGCAAAGTGGGATGCCTGCGCAGGCTGAGGTCAAGTTTTCGCCGACCCGGATACTGCGCCTGCGCGCCATCGCCGGGCACACCACAGTCCTTGACCCTTGCCGTCAGCTGCCGCGGCTTCGGCATGATGAGGCTAGGCGAGTTGGTACGGCCATGCGCTGCACCACTTGGGACAATCTGTCATTCTCGGTTTGCGGAGGCAAGAGGCCGGCGAACTTTGCCGTAGCGGTAGATCTCATCAAGTGCCTCCAGCGAGGCGTCCAGCTGTTTGTTGCTGGCGGAGAGACCCTCCTTACCAGGCCAGGCTGGCTTGCAACTCGCGGGCATCCACCCTGCCTGCATCTCTGCGGTGTATGCGGTCACGCGTGGAAAGCCTCAGTCCGGTCGACGTGTCTGCTTCGGACACTGAACCGGCGGCTTCCGCACTCTGCCGCCGAACTGCAAGAAGTTTTGGTCTTCCTGACCAGCCAAGCGGCCAACCCCGATTCCACTGCCGGCGATTGGGCCATCGCCCTGGTGGTACCCCCCCGGAAACCCCAAATTGAGGAGTTGTCTTCGGTTGCAACTGCAATGCCGCCTCGTGCATCGCTCCGGATGAGGTTGTTGAAGCATTGACTGAATTTCATCAAATAGAGCAAACCAGGCTGATCCTGCCTCTGACACGGAGGCCTCGGACACTGAGGTTGCGCCGCACCTTGCTGCAGTTGACAGGTCAGCGTATCCAGTTCTGTGTGTCACGACTGTCTACCAGCCACTGCCGAGGAGGCCTACCGGCAAGGATATGCCACTGAGTTCTGCCCGGGGCCAGGGGATTGTCCGGTCGGCCGAGGCCATCAGGACGATGCGGAAGTTGAAGACAAGCTAGACCCTGCGACGCTCGAGGCTTTGGATAAGTTCGCTACTGGCCTGCCCCGTATCCCTGACAAGGTT